TCAATCAATCTTCAACAATTTAATGCTATTCACTCAGAGTTCCTTCTGGCAGCTTCTCAGATCTCACTTTTCTTTCTAATGTGTCCTTGAAACTTTGCAATATAGATGCAGTTAGAATCATATTAAGTAAGATGCACAGACTCTAGATTATCCGTTCTATACAGAGACTTCCCGTAACAGGACGGAGTTTATGTTTGTTAAGCATGAAGAAACTAAAGCTGGTACTTAGCTGGTTTCACATTATTTACTCATTTATAAGTAGGATTGTGCACACATGTTCAGGAAGTCTCTTTTCATCATTTAAACCTGTGTGGAAATACTCACGCAGACACACCTGGAGATTCCAGTATTTCTGTGAGTAAGTGTGTGTGTGTGTGTGTGTGTGTGTGAGAGAGAGAGAGAGAGAGACAGAGAGAGAGAGACAGACAGACAGACAGACAGAGACAGATATAAGACACAGAGAGAGGGAGAGAGAGAGAGTAAGAGAAAGAGAGTAAGATAAAACACAAATTTAATCAGTTTAACAATAAGTATTGGCCAAAGGCTTTATATATATCTTAGGTTTAAGAGGACTCTTGCAGAGTACCTGAGTACCCTATCACCCAAGTCTGATGTTCCATAACTACCTGAATTCTATGTTCCATGTCATCTGATAACCTTTTCTAGTGCTACTGGTAACATGTTGGGGCCCTAGCCCCCCATTTTTGGTTAGCTATTGCCTTGCTTGCTGACCTTGACCAGATGTCTTCCCTATACTGATTCCCTGCCAGTTTCCTTCCTCCTGAATGCTCACTGGAGGTTCTTTGTTTGTGTATCCTACAATTGGTGTAAACAGCTTAGATGTAAGAATGTAGAACATCAGTAGCAAACTTCTGCCCTCCAGGGTTCTCCCATTGTGCTGTAAGCCTGTATTTAAAGTTTCCTCCCTCTCAATAAAAGGCATTTGGCATTCTGCTGAGACTAATGACCCGCTGTTATTGTCTCTGTTTTTTGATCCACAGCCCTATGCTCGGACATGGTGAACGGGTGGTGGTAGCGTGGAGGCTACCACTACAGTAACAGGCACACAGATACTCATAGGGCTACACGCACACACACACACACACACACACACACACACACACACACACACACATACACACCATTAAAAGTAAAAATAAAACATTATTCATTGCAATGAGATCATTTAAACTTTTCCTATTTTATTATAATATATTGTATTCACCATAATATTAAAAACATGTTCATAACACTCTTAGCCCTTTCACAGTCTCATATAATTTTAATAGTATCTTTTCTTTTCTCACAATTCTGTAATTCACATTTTCTTTATATTGAGTGTATGATGTCAAATATGATTGAAACTATGTCAAGTAACAGAGCATTCTGTTTTTGCCTTGTGGTCTTACCCGTTGCTATTGTTCAAATTCTCATTGAGAATTTTCAGGGGGTATTTGGGGAAGATGCATCATCAGTTTCCATGAGCAACCATGCATAAGGTTGAAGAGTCTGATAAAGTGAGTGTTGCCAGTGATGACAACTATGGCTGGCAGAGTGAAAAGATCTGTCTGGAGAAAGGTCCTACCATAAGGGGAAGCTTTTAATAGTTATCAAATAAATGACAGCTGATATCATTTCCCTGATTTAAAACAGCTTTAAATAACATCACAGAAGCACTAAGATACATTATGCTATTACAACATGGGAGAAGTTTCTTAAACCATTCTTTAATTATACATATACAAAAACATTTTATATATACACATACTGATATATACATATGCATTCATATATACATCATATGCATGTAGAAATATATACATATAGTACTGAAATGCTCCTACTGAAGCCCTTGATCCCAGAATATTACCTGTTATATTTCTTACCTTCCTTATCTCTGGTTCATAGGCCACACATGATATCTGGTTTGTTGAAATTATTAATTTTTGAAGAGATGATTTAGAAACGATGCTTTGATTTAATATTCAAAATTCTGGAGGATAAAGTCCTGGGCCAGTGTCTACAAACTGTGCTATGTTTGTCCAAAAACAATATTGTTGGTTTCATCTCCTTTGATAGATAAATCTTATTAAATGCTTAGCATTGGTGCAAATATTAAATGACACAGGATCCACTACAGTGAACACATTAATATGATAAATAGGCTAGCACATCCCCAAAGTCAATAGACACCACATTCAGGGGTAGGTACAGAGTTCACACAGTAATTCACTGTGCAGTGTGGAGATGGGGGTCATAGATGGCTTTCCATGGCTTGATAATATTTGTTTGATTTGAGGAAATATACAGAAAAAATCTATTTTATCTGAATTGAAGGGAAACTAAGTTTTGCTGCTTACTAGGGCTGGTGCATGGCCCCTGTTTAATTACATCTTCACAAGCTTTCTCTTTTCCTTCATTGCCTAAGTGTGGCTGTCCTGAAACTTGCTCTGTAGACCAGGCTGGCCTCAAACTCACAGATCCACCAGCCTCTGCTTTCCCATTGCTGGGACTAAAGGTGTGCCCCACCACACCTGGCTCTAAGCTTTTCTTTAGTTCCTTTGCACAAGTTGGAAACTTAGCTGAGTGGGATCTTGCCCTGAGGTCACTACTCCTTTATTCCATTTTTTTTTTTTTTTTTTTTGTTTTTTAGAGACAGGGTTTCTCTGTGTAGCTTTGTACCTTTCCTGGATCTCGCTCTGTAGACCAGGCTGGCCTCGAACTCACAGAGATCCACCTGCCTCTGCCTCCCTTCTTAATACATCTATCTCCTTGAACACAGAATTTAGCTCTATTCCACTTTCTGGTGCTCTTTTCCTTCTCAAAATTTTCGTTTTGTAATTTACCCTGGTCCACTTGATCCCTTTCATTTTAAATCTTCATGAGAGTCTATATTAGGCCATTTTGAGATTTTTCTGCCAATGGAATTAATCCAAAACTTTTGACTTTAGCCTCAGAAAGACTCTTTGGACAAGGGGGAAAGATAGCCATTCTCTTCACCAAAGTATCACAAGAACCATTTCTAGACAACATACTAAAACTCTTCTCTGAAACCTCTTGAGCCAGCTCCTGACATTTCAAATCATTATCAGCACTATTGTCTTCCATGCTCCTACTAATATGTCCCATCAAACAGGGCTTAAACCCTTCTACTGCTTTCCAAATCCCAAGTACCAAAGTCCAAATTCATCCAAACAAAACACGGTCAGGCCTATCACAGCAATACCCCAGTCCTGGTACTAACTTCTGTCTTAGGGATTTTTAATGTTATGAAGAGACACCATGACCACAGCAACTCTTAAAAAGAAAACATTTAATTGGGGTTGTTTGCTTACAGTTGAGGTTCCATCCATTATCATTAGGACAGGGAGCACGGGAGCATGAAGGCAGACATGGTGCTGGCTATGTCTTCATCAGAAGGCAGAAGGAAGTCAACTAATTGTAACACTGAGTGAAGCTTGAGGAAAAGACCTCAAAACCCACACCCACAGTGACACACTTCCTCCCATAAAGCCTAACATCCACATCTCTTATAGTGCCACTCCTTTTGGGGGCCATTTTCTTTCAAACCACCACACCCATTGAATCAACTAAGCAGGACTCACATAGGCTCACATTGACTGAAGAGGCAAGCACAGGGCCTCTATGAGACTTCACCAGGAAGTCTGCATATATGTTATGGCTGTTATCTTCATGTTTTTGTGGTATAATTTTTTATGTGTGCTTGAATTGGGTTTCAATGTATTGAACTGAGAAATTTGCATTTATATTCTTAGGGGATTTAGTCTATAATTTTATGTTGGGTCTTTGTGTTGTTTTGGTATCAGGGTAAAAGTGGCTTAGTAAAATGAGTCATGAAATGTTCCTTCAGTTGCCAATTTGAGGAGCATTGGCATTGCTTTCTTTTTTAAGGTCTGGTATCATCCTGGACTGAGTCCATCTGACAGAATTCTATTTCCCCAGCATAAATGAGCCACCATTATCATCCTATATCAATTACTTAGGAAGCAAAACAAACCAGCTTACAATGAAGAGCTTCAACAAGTTTAACAAAATTCTCATAGGCCTGTTGGCTCTGTTGGACTGTCCTGAGAGGATATGACTTACATCCTATCTAGTGTTTACACTTGAATGTGCTTTGACATAGTATTCTGTAATTTCTTAAAATGTCCTCTCAAATTGTAGACTTCACTGCATTATGTATGTGCTCATAATCATCCAGATGTGTTTCTGCTGTTAAATAAAAGCAACTGCAACATCAGTGTCCAGGATGATGACCTCTAAACACTCTTCAATAAGGTAGCTATTTGCCAACAGTTTGGGTATGAGATTGATTAGCTCTTTCTAAACGAAAAAAGATAATAAGGACAGCAGTCATCAATCATAATCAACTGTTGAAGAATGAATTCAAAGTTGTTTGTGGCATGTTTTGGCCCATGCCTTTAGTCCCAGAACTCAGGAGTTAAAATGCAGGCATATCTCTGTGAGTTCAAGTTGGGCTACATAGTGAGATCCTGTATCTGAAAGTTGTTGTTTGTAAATATCTAATATAAGATATAGGGACACAAAATTAAAGGATTTAGAACACTTGCTAAATGTTTTTTATGTGCATAGTAAGATAATAATCACTTTTAAGCATAAGTCACAGTGAAGGAACATCTTCCAAAAAGCCTGAACAGAGAAATAAGAAGCATGTCAGGTTCAAAGAAGATTAAGATTTTCATAGTGAATTACTCTAGCTGTTCCTACCTACCCTAAATAAAATAAATAAAAGTAAAAATTTTAGTATTCTCAAAAGTATTAAGGAAATCAAGTATAAATAGTTATTTTGTTTTAAAATTTGTTTCTTAATACTCTGGAAAGTCAGAAGTAAAGTATTTCAAAGCAATTTCAATTATGATAATATATCAAAAATATTGCTTATTGAGAGCAGCTCCTATTTTGGCTTGCGTGCATTTATTATAGCTTAAGAAGTTTTTCTAAGCCCTGATCCTGAAAGGCATTCTCTTAGCAACCCTGGGGAGCAGCGTGAGAGCTGGACTCTCAAACCCCCTATCTGGCACCAGAACCAGGGAAAGGCATGGAGACAATTAAGGAGACTATCTGCAAGAAGGGTGGTGGTCCCCTTGGAGGTCAGCCCCAAGAAGCACCATCTGGAAGCAATCCAGAGAGACACTGCACTGGGGGCCTTAGAGAGAGTGTTCACTGGTTGGATGCTGCAGAGCCTTTGAAAGGGTGAGTAGTCTGTTTTCTTAAGCCTCTCTTTTTTTTTAAGCATTCTCTTTGTATAGTTTCTCCCCTCAGAATGAGTCAGAATCTAGTGCTTACCCTGTAATAACGGATCCCAAAGAAGACAGCTCAAGAGGGTACTAAGAAATCAGGCATAGAATAATGAACCTCTGAAGGGAAAACTGACTTGGAGGAGGAAGCAAAGGAGTATCATAATCCCAAACGTGCCCCTCCTCAAGAAACATAAAGAGAAACAAAGGGACCTCTGAGTCTCCTTGACTTTGTAGGTCAGATTCAGGGACCCACAATGGCAGGCAGAGATTTTATACCCTCCCTTCATGAGAGAATCCCGCTGCTATTTCCTTTGGGACATAAAAAAGAGGCAGCAAGGTACTACAATCTTATTTGGCTTCCTCTGCTCTACCTAATTATAAGTCACTCCATGTGACTGCCTGAGAACGTAAATAAAACTGGTGAGGTTTGCTACAATCAGAGCTTTCAGTGAAATGATTCACCGGAAACAAAAGGGTTAACTTGCAAACTGCTTGTGCTGTGGAGCTGGAACAGCTCTTCATTTAAATAACAAAACAAGCTTCCCTAAGGGGCAGATAGACTTGGCTGCACTGTCCTAGACACCTTAGCTTGTTTGAAAACTCAAGAGAAGATTCCCTAACTCTCAGACCCAGCACCTCTCCCTCTCCCCCTCCCCCTCCCTCCTCTTCCTCTCCCTCCTTTCCCTCTCCCTCCTCTCCCCCTCCCTGTCCCTCTCCTCCCCCTCTCTCCCTCCTCTCCCTCTCCCTCCTCTCCCCCTCCCTCTCCCCCTCCCTCTCCCTCTCCTCCCCCTCTCTCCCTCCCTCTCCCCCTCCCTCTTCTCCCTCCTCTCCCTCTCCCCCTCTCCCCCTCCCCCCCCTCTCTCTCCTCCCCTCTCTCTCTCCTCTCTCCCTCTCTTCTTCCCTCTCCTATCTCCTCCCCTCTCCTCCCCTGCCCTCCCCTCCCCTCCTCTCCTCTCTCTTTCTGGGTTAATTGTTACTACAGAGCTGTTTATTTACAAAAATCATGGCCCTGTCCAGTTAACTCATTCAAACCAAGTCACTGGGGAGGGGACACTTTCCCTTTGAGTTGGAAAATTCTGAAGGTCTTTCAGTTTGATTGGAGATGTCCCAGAACTGAAAAACCTTGCTGCATAGACACTTACTCTCTTTGCATCTCCGCCTTTTTCTTCCAACTCTGACTGCCTGTCTGCATCTCCAACACTCCCCTCCGCCCCCCTCAGGTCCCAGGTGGCTGGCTGCCCTAAACAGACACCCTGCTGCTGCCTGCCTCTTCAGTTACACTCTCCAGTTCTCATCAGCTCTAAAAATCTTTCCTCTTAACAATTTAAAAATAAACTTTTCCCCCTCTTCACTCATAAAACAGCTATTTTTGTTTCTTTACTGATTCATGATTAAGAGCCTTTGTTTCCATACTAAAAGAATTTCAACTCAAGCTTATTATTTTTAAGGCTAAATCTAGCAGGATGAAACAAAGTTCTAAATTTATAGAGACAACTAACTTATAAGTTGTTAAAAATAGGTTCACTAAAATTGTAAACTATTAAGGATAACTAAACAATACAACTTAATGATTAATCATCTAGCTACAAACTTATAAACTGTTAAGAATAAGTTTACTTAAATTATAAACTATTAAAAATAATTTAAAAAAATAAAAATAATTAAAAACACAACGTAATGACTAGTCATCTACCCAGTAACTTAAACTATAAACTGTTAAGGATAAGTTTTACTTAAATTATAGGCAATTAAAGATAAATAAAGGATACAATTTGCTGCTTAATCATACTGGAAATGATCGTATTCTCTATTCAAATCTTTATCTATAAACATGCTAAATATTAATATGATCAATTCCTTTCTTAGTTTCCTGGCATTTAAAAATGTTTAAGCTTCTCTCTACAGATAAAACTATGCCACGCCTTAATTGCTACCAGGGCTCTATTTTAATTATATATACTTTGGAATCAGTTGCCTTGCTTTGATAAAAAAAGCAGTCTATTCACCAAGTTACTTCTTTACAGAAAAATTTCAGACCTAAATTTAACAGCCAAAGGCCTATACTGTTCCTTATGACAACTAAAATCTCTAGTCACTGCCTCCAGTAAAGCTGTGGTTATATATAACAAACATCCTTCCCAAAGCTTCAGCTGCCTTCTCAACTTCTCTCATTGAACAAAAATCAAGTAATTGGCCTCATTTCCTTGGGTTAATGCCAATTCTGAGAACAAGTTGTCTTGCTACCAGATCCCAAATAAAAATAAGCTCACCATACAGGTTTCAAAGTAACTTATTGTCTTACAATGACTTCCCTCAATAATCAATCACTTATGTTTTTGGCAAGTTAAGAAGATGTTTTAGGATGTAAAGTTTTTGTAAGGACATTAAGGTTTGAATAAGTGATTTTTGGGTCTGAGATGTAAGATAAAAATAAAAGACTTAAGGTATGGGGATATATAAAGGCTTAAATATGAAAAATGCTTTGGGACAAGTTGTTTGGATATGTAAATGGAAGTTATGAGGGTCTGAGGATGAAAAGGCTTCGAAGATGATGGGGAAAAGTGATTTGAGATGTATAAGGAAATGAAACATGTTTCAGATTTCTTTCTCTTGCTATTCTGCTGTTATATTGAGACTCCAAAGGTTCCTAGTTTTAACATTAATTAATAAAATTCTGATAAGCTATTAATCTAGCACTACTACCATTATCATAGCCACAGGCTTGGGATTTTAAATTCCCTTTGATTGTTTTTTTAACTATTTATGGGCTTGAGGATGCTTCTCATTATGTTGAGGGCATGTGTATAGTCTACATTCATCCAATTTTTCTGGATAGAAAAAAAAAATGCTTTTAACCAAAATAAATTTTAGGTTTCCAAACTTTTATTATGACTCCAAATATGAGTCTCCTTGCCTCTTCTACAACATAGATTTCAATACAGACTACAAATAATAATAATGAACATATCTGAACTTTTTGTCTCTTTAAGAAGGTTCTTATAAGCTTCAGGAGCTCTAAACACACCAATGCCCACAGGTCAAGACAGACTTCCGAAAAGTACTACCAAGCTGTGGTTTGTTTTCTCACCTGCCTATTTTTTTTCTGGGGTAGTGGGGGTGGGGATTTCTCTCTTCCTGGCCTGGAATACCCCTTTCACATCTGCCAAAACCATGCACTTAAAAGTTCCAAATGTACACTTAAGTCCAAAATTTCCTCTTTAAATGTCCATTAATATGTATTTGTTCCAGTAGATTCCTAATCATTAAAAAGGTTATTTACACCCCATCATCTTCTCTGCCACAAGCTCACTGCAGCCCTGCACCCAGCCCTCCAGCTCACACTCCAGGGGCCCCCAATGCACTCTCCAGGCCATGTCCCAGCACAGACTGATCCATTTGCTGACTGCACCCTCCCAAAGCAGACCTTCCAAAGCTGCCTACACCTCTCACAGAGCCTGGACAAGTGAAACAGTCTGCTCTTGCTGGGCTTCCATGCATTCCAGCTTTCAGAAGCCCCAGCCTTGTGCCCATGCCAGCATGGAGTAACCATGAGCGATTTCTACACCCCTTTGTCATTCTCCCCTATTCCTATACTATAGAATTCCCACGCTCAGCGACTGGATTGCCCTTAAAAAATGTTCTATTACTAATCATATAAATTCTGCCCATGGTCCTGTTATGTATATTTTATCAGACAGTCTCCATATGTACTTCTGACAATTGTTCTGTTATGAAAATCTTGCTGTGTATACTTTGAGACAAATTGGTACTGCCCCTTTTATAGCCAAATGGTTTATTATTGTTTAGTTACAAATTTGAGTTACAGGTCAACTTTAGCTACAGCCTTGGTGGTATAGATGCACACTGCTATTCAGGTAACTCTTTATCTAAAAATGCTTCATTAACCTTAGTTACTCAAAACAAATTAATTAAAGATTAATATACAAAAGTGTATATTCTAAACAAAACTATTTTTTTGATAACTCAAACATAATATTTAGACACACTTAACAATATCATATCATACTATTATAGATTTTTATGTTACTCCTCTGCCCTTTCTTGAATCAGAAATGTTCTGGGATCATAAACAACTATACTTACAGGGTGTTTACACTAGTTCTCAGCTTGCCATCAATATAAATTATTCTTATTAATTTCAGAATTATTACAATATTGCTTGTCATTGTTCCAATCATCTTCAGACTTTCAAATTATCCACAGTACTCACAGCCCTTAGAGAGATTTACATGCTTCTTTTTTTATTAAAGCAAAAGGGGGAGGTTCCAGAGTCTGTGGGAGTATACAGCAGGTGATAACTAGTGTTGAGCAGGTTGACCCATCAGACAAATAACTCTCTGATGGAAAACCCCACTTGGCAAGACCATGGGGTCACTGATTGCAAATGGGATCTTTGTGTTAGGAAGATTAGGAGCACCTTTTCAAAGACGCTCACTCAGAAACAAAACCCTTGATGCCTCAGCTAGGCTGTAACGGAAAAGCTTGACTTTTTTGCTTTTCCCAGTAAAGTTTCCGGCCCTTTTGGGCTCTCTGTAGCTCTTTACCCACACTCTCCCAAGCGTTTCCCTCAGGGTACTCTGACCTGCTGTCTTTTACTAGCTTGAAGGAGACAGAGCTTAGAAGAGGTTTTTTAGGAACTTGTCCCTACCTCCTGCATTGCAGGGAGGATTGTTAAAGCTTGAAAGAACTTAGAGAGGTTTTGCTGTCTTAACAGGTTTGTTGTTTTCCCTTAGAGCTAATCACAGGTGGTCCCCATACTAATATCTTCAGGCGATTCTAATTTTTGTCCTTCTGAGAGAGAAAGTTAAAAGCTTTAGTTTTTAAGTTTGAGAGCTTTTGAGAAAGATTAAGGCTTTTTAGAGAGATTTTCCCCCCAAGTTCTCCAAGGAAAGCTTTTGAGAAATTTTTTTCCCCCAAGAGAGAAAGACCAACTTACCCCAAAACTTCTGAACTTTAAACTTTGACTTTTTTACATCCCCATTTTTGCCTCAGGGAGAAAACACTTTCTCCTGCCACTTGGACTTAGCATTTCAGCTGTCCCCAGGTCAAAAGCTTCCATAGGAAACTTTTTCTTCCCCATAAGCTCAAAGAAGAGCTTTTTTACTACCTGTAAAGCCCAAAGAAAGATTTTTTTCACAGTTTGCGTTTATAGCCCCCAAAGTTAGAAAATTGTAGAGTTTTTCTGTCTAGTTGCCTTACTTATTTTTTCCTACACAATCTTACACTTTTAAGTTTTTCCTACACTATATTACCACCCTATGCCTTATACTTATTTTTTACAGATAGAAATTGAGAAAGGGATAGAAGATAGAAAATTTTGACTAAAGAGAATTTCGCTGCAGCATCGGACATCCTTCCAGTCCGCTTTCCTTTTCTCTCAAGGATAAAACCCCTGCCTCTCAATAATATATATAAAAAATATATATTTTCCATAACACCGGCATGCCTTATCCACTGGCAGGGTTGAACTCAGCACTTTCGCCAAAAACTCTGTAATAAGACTATTATTTTCCTTTATCTTTAGTCCCTATTACTTTGTCTTTAGTCCCTGTTCATTTGTCTTTAGTCCCCCCTTTTTTTTCCTTTAGTCCCTTTTTTTTTCTTTAGTCCCTGTTCATGGCGCCATTCTGTGGGGCATTTACCCAACCACTCCCACAGTTCCCCAGAGTTTTCTTGAGTGCGAGCAGCAGGAAATATTAGATAGAAGGATTTATTGTGGAGAATATCACGGAGATAAACAGATAGAAAATAAAGGATAGCCTCAAGAGGGCCTGGAACCTATTCCAACGGCCCCCGACTGTCTCTGCCCCAGGGTTTTTATAGAGATGCCAAGGGGTGGAGCAAAATACCTCCTCCCCCAGCACAGCCAAGTACAGACCATCTCAGACACCTGCACTCAGGCCTGTGGTCCTAATCATCCTCTATGTGGACCTGCTGGGTAAAGCCACGAGGAACCCGAGAATGGGCTCCCACAACAGACCAAGAGGGAAAGCCTCAGAGAGCCACTGCCCACAACAATAAAAACGCCACATATGCCATTACCTATATCTCTGATAAGACCAGACACTATGTAATTTGGGTTGGCTATAGTGGAGACAACATTCTCCTTACCTTATCTGGGCCATGCAGACAGGTGGATCCAGCAAGTACCTGGCCACAGGTCCTGAGATTGCCCCTACTGTGAAAACTGGAGAGAAAATGGGCTTCATACTGGATGCCAAGACTACTGGGAAGGGGAAAGTGTCCTGCATGATTCTGAATGTCACAGAGGCTGAGGCTGATGTCATCGGAAATGAAGATGGCACCTATGACATTTTCTACACTGCTGCCAAGCCAGGCACCTATGGGATCCACGTGCTCTTTTGTGGTGTTGATATTCCCAACAGCCTCTTCACAGTCATGGCCACTGATAGAGAAGTCATAGCCATGGAGCAGGCCCAAGTAAATGCATGTCCTTTAGGTACTAGGTGACTGAAGAGGCCTATGTTCCAGTCAGTGAATGGCCTAGGCTTTAATCCCTTTGACTGCGTGATTTCTATAGGGAAAGGGGGCTGGCTAAAGAAACCCACCCTGACCCTGGAGCCCAGAACTAGGGCAAGATGGCTCAGATAAGGCCAGTGAAAGAAACACAGTTTGGCTCAAATCAGAGCCATCTCAGCCCCTGGCCAACTGACTTGTGAGTCCAACCAATCACAAAGCAGGACAGCAGAATCCTGGCCCTAGGGCCCAGGGTCAGGGAAAGAAACACAGCCTGCATTTGGGACCTGAGCCAGAAAACACTTTATCCCCAAACCCATAACCAAGGAAACATGCCTTGACTCTGAAACTAGTGCTAAAATAACACTCTTGGTCCCTAGAATCAGAGTCAGTCAAAGAAATGTGCCCTGACCTTCAAGGTAGTGTCAAAAAGCCAAGAAAGGCCAGTGAAAGAAACACAGTTTGGCCCTGAAATCGGGGTCATCTCTGTCCCTAGCCCACAAAACTGGCCAATCCCTGTGCAGAAAAAACTAACCAATCATGGGTTGACTCCACCCCTAGGACATCCTATATTAACCACCCTGCCTGGTCAGTTGTGAGCTGTTCTCTCCACCCTGGTAGAGGCAGCTACTCTCCTAGATTCCTCCTTCCCAAATAAATCTCTTTCTCAAAAGAGTTTTGGGTGTGAAGACCTTCATTCACTGGTGCACAGAAGAACCTTGCTGAGACGACCCATGGTGGATTGAGCAAGGGGGAGCTGAACAGAAGAACATTGCTGAGATGTCCCATAGTGGATTGAGCAAGGGGGCTCTGAACAGAAGACCATTGCTGAGATGTCCCTCAGTGGACAGAGCAAGAGAGAGCTGAAAAAGTAACACTTTTCTCCTGAGGGGGAGGAGATTGCTACATTTTGCAATTTCTTAGGCTAGAGAAGCAGAGCTCTTCTAGGAAGTCTCCTTAAGTGGGGGGTGACCAAAGCTCAGCTGTAAAGGCTCTCCAAGAGAGAAGCAAGATTGCTATATCCTGCAGGGAGACCAGCCCCCATCACACCAGGTACAGCCTGACTTTCCTGAACAGTCAGGATACCCTGCATTTCCCGAACAGTCAGGATACCCTTACCTACTGAAGCAGTTCCAGGCCTGACTTTACTAAGAAGTCAGAAAAATTTCCCTTCCAGGGTTGGGCTGCTTCTTTGCAGTTCCAGCCATCAGAGCTGTGCTAAACAGCTTCAGGTGTCTGGGACACCTTCAGGGCAGAGCTGCTCTGAGCAGCTTGAGGTGTCCAGGATACCTCGCCCTCCAGGGCTGAACTGTCTCCTTCAGCCTTCAGAGCTGTCCCATGAAGCTCAAGGTGTTGCATTCCCTTTCCCCAGAGTTGCAAAACTCACGTTTTGGTGTCAAAATCTGGGACCAGATCCACAGAGTTGCAACAAATTTACTTACAATTTCATTTGCTGTCAAGAAAGGAGAAATCACAGGAGAGGTGTATGTGTCTCTGGGAAGAAATCTACACCTGAGATCATGGACAACAAAGATAGCATGGTCACTGTTAGATATGCCCACACTGAAGTAAGGCTTTACAAGATGCACATCAAATACATGGGCAGCCACATCCCTGAAAGCCCTCTCCTGTTCTGTGTGAACTACACAACAGTGGGAGCCTTTCTGCATATGGTCCAGGCCTTGTGTATGGAGTAGCCAACAAAAATGCCTCATTTACCATTGTCACAGAAGATGCAGGAGAAGGTGGTTTGAATTTTGCTACTGAAGGACTGACCCTCAAAAGCAGACATCAGCTACATTGACAACAAAGATGGTACATATACAGTGACCTACTTGCCCACCCTGCCTGGTGACTATAGCACCCTGCTCAAGTATAATGACAAGCACAAGCTACTCACATGTGAAGCTAGGATCTGTTGTTCAAATTTCTAAGGGTCTTTAAATAAAAATCTGGAAGCTAATATTGGGGTGAAAGCTGAAAGATCAAAGAAGCAGAGCAAGCCACAGCCACCACCTCTTACCAACTCCTCAGCTTGAAAGAGCTCCAGCTGAGAGAGCTTCCTTAGTCAAAAAGCCTTCAGCCAAAAGAGGCTTCCTCAGCCGAAAGCACCTCCAGTCAAAAAGCCTCTATTTCCTGTATCCTTACGCCTTATATACCTTTCTCCACCCACCCATCACTTCCTGGGATTAAAGGCATATGTGGTTCCCAGTACTGGGATTAAAGGTGTATTCCAACACTGGCTCTGTTCTATCCCCTAGACTGAGTCAATCTCATATAGCCTTTAAATTCACAAAGATCCAGTTGGATCTCTGCCCCCCCCCCCAAGTGCTAGCATTAAAGCTGTGTGCCACCAGTGTCTGGCCTCTATGTTTAATCTAGTGGCTTGTTCTGTTCTCTGATCTTTAGGAAAATTTATTAGAATACACAATGTATCACTACATTCCCCTTTTTTGTCTAAAATAATAAAGGAACATTATAACTAACATAAGAAAAACTATATACATAAGTACAATAAGTATATACCATATATACAATCAATAATCACATTAACAATGTCTAGTCTATTGACATTTGACAGATTCAGAGAAAATACTCCATTATTTATCCTATTTGGTGAGTCCAAAGTGTTGTACCTAATTCACTTTCTATCCTAACTTGTATTACCAACCCCAAGCTATCTTTTGATGTCTTTCAAACGTACACACTTTACACCTCTTTAGTTTCTTTTCTGAATTTGTTAACAGGGAAAACTATAACTATCTAATCTTTAACTCACTCAGACACCGGAAGGAAATAATATTAACTGAGTAAGCAGGAAGTGCAGACAAGCAACTTCCAAAAAATATGAGAAATGACAGAAACAGCTGGCTGCCTGAAGAGTCACCCAAAGTTCCTCTGCAACATTGGGGTATCCATCTTCAGCTTATAGACTGAGCATATCTGACAGGCTTTTCTCTGAAGCAGAATTTTCTGAAGGGCCTTCCTACCTTGTCTTGGCAAGGTGCCAACAGTTCTTTCTTTTGTGTCCTGCTTGTCCATTTTGGACAGCATACTGTCAGCAGTGGAGGCAAGGGCATTTTCTTGCCCAGTGGCTAACTTGCCACAGAGAAAGTAAACTCCATACGGAGTTTCTTCAATGCTCATCATCTTCTTGAAGTATGTTGGTGATGCTAGGAGCAGAAATGTCTCATTTACATAAAAAAATCTATGTTATTAAAACATCTTAAATGCCATAATCTGTAGATCTCTAAAGTGTTTGAAGATGACCTATCTAAAATATATCTGTTTGACATTGAAAACATACCTAACTGGATGACAAATTTGATTGTAATGACTAATTACTAACTTACACTTCTTTATATACTAATTAGTTGGTAATAATAACTTTCAAGGACTAGAAATTTGCATTACATTGTTAAATGAACTGTATAGACACAATACCTTGAACAAGTTTAGAAATATATGTACAGTATATTCTAGCAAAATCAATCTCAAATTTGTATCAATATCCAAAATTTGTATACAATATACAAAAATTCAATCCAATGTAAAATATTTAAAACTAGTAGTTGCTATTTTTGTTTGTTTTTGTTTTTTGGAGACAGGGTTTCTTTGTGTAGCTTTGTGCCTTTCCTGGAACTCGCTTTGTAGACCAGGTTGGCCTCAAACTTACAGAGATCCACCTGCCTCTGCCTCCTGAGTGCTAGGATTAAAGGCATGCGACACCACCGCCCGGCCTATTAGTTGCTTTTTAAAAGTAAATTTAACCTTTTTATCTTATCATATCAATATTTTCTTTTCAGAGTAGATTCAATAATCTACCTTTTTATATATATCCTCTTTTTCCCCTTTCCTTTTCTTTTTTTCAAATAAGAACCCTGAATCTAATTTCCTTTGTTCAGCTTTTTCCTGACTATTAACAATAACAACTTCTAAGCAACCATCCTAAACAATGACAAATATCCATAACTCATTGAATGACCAAAAACCACCCACCCCACCTCTTGCAAATGTGGGTGTCATGTTCTTTAAATTACTTCCAGCTGTCTTGGGGCAAAGGCATTTTTAGGGGATCCTGAAAAGACATATTTTGGGTTAATTGTCAAGTCCTGGGAGAGGTAGCTGGATCATTGTTGTCCAGTCTCTGTATAATGCCAAAGTACTTGTCTCAAGTCCTGGCTAGAGTAGAATGTGAGGCTGTATCACCTCAGCTAGCCATCTCAATATTGTCCTGAGCAGTTTATAGTCCAAAGCCAATCTTTTGGTGGTGTTTGTCAGTTTGGTGGTGTTATCATAGTCCTGAGGGAATCATCATTGTAGGGTCCCATCATCTTTTGGGAGACTTCAAAGTCATGATTAGGCATGGTCATGGTTCACTACAGAAAATCTTTTCCTTCAGACAAGTTTTCTGCATGATTTGTTGTTTTTCTTCAGTTGTCTCATTTGTCCAGTGGTCTTCAGATTCCTTAGCCTCCATTTTCCTGAAAGACAAAAATAAAACCCTTCCCCAACCCTAAATTTGGGGAGGTTCCCAATCTAATCTTTATCACTTTTGATTTATAGTTCCTCCTGATTTTTTGTTCTCTTCTATAGCTGTTCTATCATCCAGAGCTATATAGTTTTTTACAATAGGCACTAGGTTCTTTAATTGCTCTGGGAAGAAGTTTCTTCCAGGATGACAGGAAAGGACTAAATGGATTTGACATGAGGGGTTCTTCAAGAGGCTCCTCAGGGCATTTGCCAATGGCAAAGGCAAGGGATTACTTCGCCCCTTGTTAATCTACATTCGTTAGTCCAATGTCTGCCTTTGCCAAACCTCCTGTATAATCTAGAATGAAGGGGAGTTCTATTGGGATTATTCCTTGAAAAAACATTAACTTTAGGAGTGTCTTGTTTAAGTTCCTTTTTAAGTGACCTTGTTTACTGCATTTGAAACATTTGACATTACTATTTTTCTTCAAACCTCTGGAAATCACCTCTCCTACGCAAGCATCATCACAGTCATGAGATTCAATATTTATTGTATCTTGGATCCATTTATACAAGGGTGCTGATCTTGCCTTTAATGACCTAATTACCCTTTTGCATTGTTCATTGGCATTTTCAAAAGCCAGAGATTCAATTAATATCTGTTCAGCTTCTGAATTTGGTATCATTCTATTCACTGCTGAAGTCAGTCTTTATAAGAAATCAGTGAAGGTTTCTTTTGGGCTCTGTATAACTTTTGTAAATGACTCAATTTCCTTTCCTAATTCTTGAATTATTTCCCAAGCATTCAAGGCTGCCCC